ACATTCTTAACCACCATGCTTCTGATTTTGCTATCAATTAAATATCTGGCACCCTTTATCTTCCTATACTAAAATCAAAATCATTTTCCAAAGTAACTTAAACTTTGAAAAAAAATTACTCTTCAGGTATTAAAATTAAGTTGATTTGTTATATAAATAGCAGGTATTTTTTTAAAAATTGTCTCTTTACAAATAACTCTACACCAAGAGAATTTGGATAATGTCTTAAAAATCTTAAGAAAAAAGATAGTCTAAAGCAACCAACTATTAACTCAATGAGAACCTATAAAAGCCTGGCTTTCAAAACTGTAATAAACAACTCTGTAGGAAAGAAAACTTAAAAGTACATATTTAGAGCACAACTACTCAAACAATAAGATACCAACAAAATTTTAAGAACTATAAACTGAAAATTCAGGGACTAGATAATCCAAGCAGGTCAATTAAAGAATCACACTAATTTATGTTTAGTAAGCAAAAGGAGAGCTCAATGATGTATTCCTGTTGGAAATGAATCTAAGTGATCTGACTCAAAAAAATTGTTAACTACCACTGAGACAACAATGAAAAAAAAGTAAAAGCTAACTTATATTAACTTATTTTAAAAGATGTCCCTTATAGAAATAAAACAAAGCAAAAGTAATTCAGATTTTCATTTTAAGAATTCCTTAACAAGGAATCAAATGTTTTGTTATATATAATTTTTATTGGGATTGTAGACTACTTCTAATAATGTTCTTTACTACTTCTAAAAAAGTATTTCCTTAACAATTTAAAACTGGGATGAATGGAGACTCAAAGCGCTTTTTAAGATTATAAAGAAAAATACCACTTGGCCACTCAGATGTTCTTCTGAAACCTTATTTTGAATACCAGTTCAACATTAATAATATTCTTGTCTTTACAGCTTTCTTTGTTGTTTTTTTTTTTTTTTTTGGTGGTACTGGGGTCTAAACTCAGGGCCTCATGCTTGCTAGGCAGGTCTCTACCACTTGAGCTATTCCACAGCCTTTTTTGTGTTGAGTATTTTCAAGATAGAGCCTCTCAAACTATTTGCCGCAGCTGGCTACCAACCTCTTGATCCCTGCCTCCTGAATAGCCAGAGTTAGAGAGGTGAGCCACTAACACCCTGCTTTTGCTCTGGTTATTTTGGAGATGGTGGTCTCTCAAACAATTTGCCTGGACTGGCCTCAAACAGTGATCCTCCCGAACTCACCTACCAAATAGCTAGAATTACAAGCATGAGCCACTGGCACTCGGCTCACATAAAATGTTTAGCGTAAATCTCTTACACGTCAGTCACACTTCATTTATAGACCACCTTCCCCACTACACTATAAAGACTCTCCAAGAACACATAGTATTCCTTTCACCAGACAAACAGAAAGCATTGGACAGCTGCTGTTTGGACGAATGAATGGGAATAAAATCGGAATTTATATTTTGGTAAAGTTATTCTAGACCCTTTTTTTTTTTTAGGTGGGTCAGGGGTTTGAACTCAGGGCTTCATACTTGCAAAGCAGGTGCTCTACTGCTAGAGCCACATCTCTACTCCTAAAGTCATTCTAATGATAATGAAGTTGCTCCTTTGACAGAGGGCAAATTCTTTCCTGATATTGACATGTTGATGAAGACTTGTTTTTAATTTCTTTTTTTCTTTTCTTAGTGGGGGGCAGTGCTGGAGTTTAAACTCACTACTTCTTGCTTGCAAAGCAGACACTTTATCACTTGAGCCCTGCCTCCAGGCCTTGTCTTTAATTTCTAACAGAGCTTATCATCTCATCTCTCTCTCTGTATATATAAATCAAAAAAAAATTTGGGGGGCTGGCGAGTATATATACATAAGACCGTGATTTCAAGCCCCAGCCCCCACACAAAAAATCTTGATTTTGTGGCAAAATATAAATTTGTTTAATGGCACAACTTTGTCCTTTGTAAAAAAGGGAAAATGGCATAGCAAACTATCTTACTTAAAAATAATTCTGAAACCCCAGCCTGAGATCAGGAAGCTTAGTAAAGGTTCAAAGCCAGCCCGGGCAAGAACTTAAGACCACATCTCAACCAATAGCTAGCTGGGTAAGTGCCTGTCATTTCAAGCTAAGCTAAAGGCTGAGATCTGGAGGATCTTAGTTCCAGGTCAGCCTGTGCAAAAAAGCTGGGCGTGGTGGTGTGTGACTGTCATCCCAGCTATAGCAGGAAACAAAATAGGAGTCTCATGATCCACACTGGCCTGGGCAAAAAACAAGACCCTATCTCCAAAATAACCACAGGAAAAAAGGGCTGGAGATACGGCTCAAACAGTATAGCATCTGCCTGGTAAGCACGAAGCCCAGAGCTGAAACCCCAGTACCACCCCCAAAAAAGAAAATTGTATTAAAAAAAAAAAAAAAGAAAATTCTGCCGGTGCCAGTGGCTCACACCTGTACTCATAGCTATTCAGGAGGCAGAGATCAGGAGGACCATGGTTCTAAGCAAGCAAACAGATCCCAAGACCCTATTTTGAAAGAACACTTAATAAAAAAGGGCTGGTGGAGCTCATGTTGTAAACCCTGAGTTCAAACCCTAATACTGCAAAAAAAAAAAGAAAATTCTGTTTTCAGGCTGGGGTGGGTAACTCAGGGGTAGACTACTTGACTAGCATGCCCAGAACCCTGGGTTAAATCCCCAGCCAAAAAAAAAAAAATTCTATTTTCACACCAAACTTCTTCTAGCCAATTGAGACCATGTTCTACCATTCCTTCCAAATAAAACTTTTTCCCCTCTTCCTATTTTTCAATTCATTGTTCAGCCAGAACTATAAAGCAACCATAGGAGAGATTGTGGGTAGACGGCTACTTGGCTACTTGGTTATGTTGAAGACCAGTAAGTTGATTTGAGAAAGATTCTAAGTTAAAAACCAATCATCACCACTTTCTTCCACAGCTTTGAGGTCAAACCAAATTATAGTCCTTGATTTAAAATGTACCACAAAGGAAGAGAATTAAGGCAATTTACATGAAAGTTTTGGGGAAGCTGAAAACTGAAATGAGTTCTGTGAGGTCAATGACTCAAAGAATAGTTGAAATGATTCTATCCAGAAAAGATCCACTATGTAGACCCACACTTAGCTGCTACTACAATTTCCTCTCACCTTGCCTGCCCTCCCTTTCTATTTACTGACAGCACAAATGTAAAAAAAAAAAAAATTAATATAGGAAAGGCATCAAGTTATAATAAATACTGATTGATTAGAGGCAAAAAGGTATACATTGTGCCACAGACATCTTAAAATATTTTTCTAACAACCTTCATCGGTTGTACCAAATACTAAAAGGAACTTCAGTCATTCATTTCCCTTAAACATTTATTATTCACATAATTTCTATCATTAAAAGTTATACACTTACTCTTGGCTCACACAACTAGCACAAAATAAGATTAAAGTGGACAGTGCAGTTAAGACTGAGAAACAGAGTAGAGTAAAAAGAAATCATTTACAATAATGGTATTTGTGGTTAAGAACCCAAAATTCTACCTATTCTTTTTCCTTTTGGTTTTTTGAAGACAGAGCTTAACAAGTGGTGCTTGGAAATCACTATATAGCCCAGGCTAGCCTCAAACTCAAAATCCTCCTGGGTCAGTCTTCCAGGTGCTGGAATTACAGCCTACATCACCCAATCTGGCTTCTACCATTCTTTGTAAAATTACAGAATCCCAGCCAGATGCTGGTGGCTCATGCCTGTAATCCTAGCTACTCAGGAGGCAGAGATCAGGAGAATAGCAGTTCGAAGCCAGCCCAGGCAAACAATTCTAGAGGCCCTATCTGGAAAAAACCCATCACAAAAAAGGGCTGGTGAAATGGCTCAAGGCCCTGAGTTCAAACCCCAGTACTGCAAAAAAGAAAAAAAAAAATTACAAAACCTCATCTCTTAAAAAAAAAACGTAGGAGAAACATATCTAGACCCATATTCAGTTCTTTTCAGTTGTTTGTAAACACAGAACTTTCAAGTCCCAGCGTTATTTTTTTTAATCAAGTGATTTTTTGGGGGGTGTTTTTTTGTTTGTTTGTTTGTTTGAAATCAAGATTTCCAGGACCCACCTGCCACAAATTCTTTTGTAAATTTGGAATGGAAGCTGGGAATTGATATGTTTACTTATAAAGTTCCCCAGGGACTCTGGTCATCAGCCAAGTTCATCAAAAGTGCCTTATACCTTTACATGGTCTCCTTCCAACCCTTTTTCTCACGGGTAGTCTAGAAAGTGATCAAAGTTCTCCCCACAAATTTGCCAAATCAAACAGCACCGTGCTCCCTCACCTAACCCCCAGTGAGGACCTCATCATCACTCCATTCTCCTAACACAACTCTTCTTACCTGCAGTCCTGCAGTGACCAAATAACAACAAACAGAAGGGTAACACAAAGGGGGGCTATCACTCAGATAACAGAAGTGCTGTCAGTTCTGACACGAGGGAAGAAAACTCCTTTCAGACCACTCTAAGACATCACTGCATCTTAAACGAAACCAAATGCACTCCAGGGTGGTATGAGAAGCAGGGTTGGAGGGTTAAGTTGCGTTACGCGCTCTTGAATCGAGATGAGACGGACCAGGGTTCTGCAACAGGAAGAAAAAACTTTCACAGCAGGCAGGTCGCCGGGCAGGCTGTTGACGGGGTGACACGCGACACCCAGGCCTGCCGTCGGGTTGCTAGGAAACACAAAGGCTCCACGTTCCCTGCAATTCCTCCCGGGCCTGACAGAGCGCAGGGGCCTTGGGGCCTGCAGCCGCCACCAAAGAGGCCTGACCACTGCCCGGGGTCGCGACACAAGCGGACACCGGGGACAGGGACCGCGCTAAAGGGGGCGGCGCGGCGAGAAGGCCCGGACCCCGAAAGGAGGCGGCCCGGGCTCTGACGGGCAGGGAACGGCCCGGGGTGAGCGGTGCTCTGCAGGCCGCAGCACGGAGTCGGACACGGAGCCTAAAGGACCTCGGGCTCCGCGCGGGGTAGGGGCGTCCACTCACACGTGCTGACAGGCCGCAGTCCGCACCGGCGTTTTGAGCACCTCCTGACAAACAGGGCAGTAGAAATCATCTTCGGTGTAGGACGTGGCCGCCGAGAGCTCCTCGGCCATGGCGAGGGGTGGAGGAACAAGGCAGCAGAGGCGGCGGCGCCGGTCGAGGTGGCGGTGGCGGCACCGGGCCCGGCTCCCGGCACGAACCCTGCGGGGGAAGGGAATCACGTCAGGCAGCGGCGAGCGTCAGGAAGCTTCTCGCGCCAGGAAGGGGGCGGGTCCGGGGGGCGTGGCTCTGAGGGGGCGTGGCCCGCGCGGGGCGGAGCCGAACGCTGAGACGCTGCAGCCGCACGCGCCGAGCGAGGTTGACTCTTCCGAGTCCTCTGCACAGGGGCAGAGCGCGAAGGCGGGCGTGGCGGGAGGTTGGGTCAAGGAAGCAGAGCTTGGCTCTGTGGTCGCTTCCACCTGGCCTCTTTCGCCCACTACAGAACATCGCCTACCGTGGAGGCCACTCCGGTGCCGAGCTTCGCGATCCCTGGCCCTGCTCTCAGCCGGGTGCAGGGTTTCTCCGGCTCCTTGGCCCCTCCCCGCGCCCAGCCTGGTCCCCGCCCCTTGCTGTGCTCCTCCCTCTCAGGTAACGGAGATGGTCACCTCGGCTCCCTAGTTCACTCGGTTGGGTCGAGCCGCGTAGCGGTGGCCCAGCGCCGTCGGTCGGCTTCTTATCCCTCCGCTGCTGCCTCCCAACTGAGGCTCCGAGGCTCGCAGTCTTCATCGGCCCGAGAAGGAGCCGGCTCCGAGTTTCACGGTGCACCGGGATCCCCCCGCCCCCGCCAGCAGCTCTCCCCTGACATCCTGCTGCTGCAGCCCGCCTGGCCAGTCACCTAACACAGGAGGGCGGCGGGCGCCTGGCAGCCAGTGGGCAGGCAGGGGCGGGGTGGCCAGGGCGGCCTCCATGGCAACCTGTGCGTGGCGCCCGCCACAGGTTGTGACATAAGCGGCTCGGGCCGCCCAAGTACCTGTCACCCTCTCCAGCCCGTAGGCCCACGTGGTGGCTGATGCCTGTAAGAGAAAGCTGAGACTGAGGACTGGTAATTTGAGGCCAGCCTGAGCTAAGGATCAGGACCTTCCCTGTCCAAAAAGAAAATCCATTTGCAGATGCGGTCAATTCTCCACCCCAACACCTTCAATACTTTTTTGTTTTTGGCAAGAGGTGGGGGGAAGTTGGGTGGATATTGGTTGGTTTTTGATAGATTTAAGGAAATGAGGTAGAAGCGTGTACCTGAGGCATTTCACCAAAGTTATTCACTAATTTAAATGTTTTTGTTTTGAAATTTTTTTTGACAGTATTGGGGTTGGGGGGCTCACACTTGCTAGGCAGGCAAGGCATACCCTACTACTTGAGCCATCCTGAGAGCCTTTTTTTTTTAACCTGGGCTGGCCTCAAACCATGATCCTTCTGTTCTCTGCCTCCCAAGTAGCTGGGATTGCAGATTGCAAGTGTGAGCTACCAGCAGGGCCCAACAAGGTTTTTATTTTTGTGCTCACTTCAACAGCACATATACTAAAATGTTTTTATTTTTTCTAAATGGGCTCTTAATTCCTAGACAAACCCACACAATTAATAAATCTTTAAGATGGAACACAACGATGTAAAAGGAGGTAAGGAAAATCGAACCTATTAAAGCATATTCAGGAAAAAAGTTTACCATCCTTTGTTCAGGCCTTTAATCATAGTCTAAATGAGTTATAAATAGAAGTCATTTAAGACAGTTAATTCAATTCTGCCATTTATCGTCTGCTGTCCCTTGCACTGTCATAGACCATTGGTCTGGACTTAGCTCCTGCACTAGGCCTACCAGTCTAGATCAAAATAGAGTCACTGATGCTAAGTCCTTCACCCAAGATTGAAACTACATTGTTTATCTGGCCTTAGAAATGAAGAGAGGGAGAGAAGGAGGGAGAAAGAGAGGAAGAGGGAGAGGAAGAACAATAGCCACATTCTCAAAACAAGACAGTTTTACTCAGCAAGATATAAGGAAGTTCCCTGTGCTTTAACCTTTATAAGGAAAATGACTTTTAAGCACCTAATCCCCTTTTTTGTTCAATTTCTACTTTCCTCAGCCCTTTTCTGGCTATTATGTTAAAACTCAAATTCACTGGTTCTATTTTATGAATTGAGGTGTTGCTCAATTCTCAAATTGCAAATCGGCTTTTATCAATTAAGATTTTTAAGACCTGTTAACAGTTTTTTTCTTGTGCCAATGCTATATTAGGTATTATGCAGATACCATAAATTTTGCTGTCAACTAGCTTACACTCTTGAATATGTAACAAAAAAGGTATTTGCCAAAATATTAAACTTTAATGGTGACTATAATGAGGCTAAGAAATGGAGTCACTGGAAAATGGATTTAGAGAAATCCTTATGGAGAAAATAGGTCTTGATATGCATCTTAAAACATGGCTGCACACCTGTGACCAACACTTGAACGGCTGAAGCAGGAGATCAAAGAATTCAAGGCTAGCCTGGGCTATCTCTGAGTCTGAGACCAGCATGGGTTACATAACAAGACCTTGTCTCAAAAAAAAAAAAAAATTTCTGGAATAACAGTTACTGGTCTGATGAACAGCTAATTCTTTCTACCAAGCTACAAGATTTTATTCTTGTTCCTTTTGCTCTTTGGCAGCAAGCACAGTGGAAGCTAACAGGAAAGTTAATTTTAGCTTCACATTTCCTGGGGGAGGAGCAAGAATATAGGATGGGAGTGGCACCTAATCACAACAGTCCAGGTGCCTTTCAAATTCCTTATGAAATGGTTCTGATTACAAATTTCACTGTGTGGGGCTGGTGGAGTGGCTCAAGCAGTGGAGCGCCGGCTTAGCAAGCATGAGGCCCTGAGTTCAGACCCCAGTGCCACCAAAAAAAAGCCAAATTTCACTATGTTGATAATATATTTCCACTCATTTCACTCATTCTGGCTACTAAAAGAAATGAAGTATATCTTATATGGTATTGTTTCTCTTTATCCACTGGGAATTCCTAACCATAACAATAATTTTGTGACTTTAATTTTGTTTGCTTCACTTTTTGTAACAGCGGTTTTACTTATGACTAATCCAAATGTATTTGCATTTATATTCCTCCATCATGAATTCTAAGAAGTCATTTGTGTACATGTAAACATGTAGTTGGCAATCTGAAAATCCATCAATTTGGGTATAAGGAAGATGTAGTTACCCACTGAGAGTTAGGCGTCAAAAAAATAACAACAAATGACAAAATCTTCAGTCTTGGCAACATCTCATATGAAAAATTAATTGATATTTTAATAGGAATTTCACAGATTTATATTCTGCTTTGCAAATATAATGTCCTAAGCCTCTGAGCAGTGTGTGTGGTGGTGGTAGTGGGAGTAGGTTCCTAATGTTAGACCAATTTGATAAACTCTGTTCCAGTCATTTAAATAGTTCCTTTAAGTTTAGGTTAAACAGCCAATTTCTTTAGGCCAGCTTCCCTCAAAATGGTGTCTGGGGAACAGAAGGGAGAACCGAGGGTGGTTGACATGAACTCGAAACTGTTGGTGTGTCTGGGCCCTGAAATCTGCAGGGTCTCTTGGATTCTTTCTGGATTTTTCTGTAACAAGGCTAATTTTGGCTGCTCCTCAATAAGAGGCTGGTGGGGGGAGGAGTACTTACTGGTAGAGCACTTGCCTAGCACTGGAAAAAATAAAAAAAAATAAAAAAGATGCAGTGATTCCTGGGCATTCCCTTGCTGGAAACTGAAGGTGAAGCTTATTCCAACCTATCTCAGCTGTGTAGAGCTGAGTTGATTTGGCTTTACCAGCACTCTGGAAACCTCTGAACTGCCATGATCATCTTCCAGTTCTTCAATGTCAGCTTGGCAGGCCCTTAGTAGGCCCTCTGCCTCTCTACACAGCTACTGTCCATGATAGCCCTTAGTATCCTCCCTTTACTACCCTGCCAGGGAGAGTCTCTCTGCCAAATCTTAGATATCACTGAATCTGCATCAATTGCTATCCTCTAAGTCAGTTCTGAGCAGCCTATAAGGCCTTGTGTTTCCAGCTCTCCTGCCCTTGGCCCACTCTTAAATTTGACTATCATACCTTTCTCCTCAAGAATGAAGTCCTAACTCTTGTCTTCTCCCCCAGTCCCTTGGGCTAGAAGGAATGGATATTTTCCCTTGCCATTTACTACTACTTATTGGGCATTCTCATATACAAAACTCTTTGGTAAAGTCCACTAGGCCAAGTGATTAATATGTTAAAAGGAAGATAAAAGAATTTACAAAAGTATTAGGGCTAGGACTATGTCTCAAGTGATAGAGCACCTGCCTAGCAAGCTCAAGTCCCTGAGTTCAAACCCCACTACTGCCAAAAAAAGAAAAATATATATGAAATAAAGACTTTGGACTAGAGCCTTTGAGCCTGCCTAGCAAATCAAGGATCTGGGTTCGAACCCCAATACCACTGAAAAGAAGAATTTAGAAAAGTGTTTTCTTAACAGTCTCAACAGTCTGTTTTGCTGGTAAGTGACTGTCTTTGAGGAAGTAACTGGGAAGCTACTGGGAAGATGGAATGGGAGAGAGGCTTAGGTTCATTGTCTGTCCTTTGGTGCCTGTTTAAATTGGTACCATGTGCAGTATTGATGGCTTGTACCAATACAGCTCTGCTAGTTCTTTTCAGCCTCTTCATTCAGATTGGGCAATAAGTGTGTCCCAAATGATGAGTGTCAATTTAGTTGCAGTTAAATATTCTCAGTATTATTCCTGACTTATGTACATAAATAACCAACAAAATCACATAGTTTAATTTTTGTTCCCTTACTGGGGATTGAACTCAGTGTTTCATGAATGCTAGGCAAATACTCTACCACTGAGCTACATCCCCAGTCCTTTTTTTTTGAGACAGCCTCATTAAGTTGCTCAGGCCGGCTTCAAACTTGAGATCTTCCTGCCTCAGCCTCCCAAGTAGCTGGGATAACAGGCATGTGTCACCGTGTTCAGCTTAGTTTAATTTTTTAACGTGTGTTTTAGAAATACTATTTTTTGGAAAAGTAATGTTCTTTTCATTTCTATTGAATGAATCGTAATTTCTTCTCTTCTTCACCTCACTTCAACACAAACACAGGCAGATGAATGCATTAGGCTGAACAGGAAGGAGGCTAAGTGAATAGAAATGTGAAAGAGAA